AATCTTACTGCGTGCGGCCGAGTAATATCTTATTGTTGATAGAAAATAACCGTTTGCAGCCCCGCGACGAAAGGTAACACGTGAGGTACCAACGAGGTTCCACGCGCCCTTAGGGACTGTCGTACGAGATGGCTCCACAGATCAGCAATGGGGTACTGTGCCACTCGGCGCTGCAACCAGGCAGATGCAACGGCATAGTGCCCAACACTAAAATATACTATAAAAATGATCAATATTATATTTTATATAAATTCAATTATTAAAACCAATGGGATCGGTGGTAATATCAATATACTAAAAATAAAAATTTAGTTAAAAAACAAGTAAAAATTATACTCTTTCTATTTCCGACTTGGAGGATTCTATGAGCCAAAACAAGGCAAACAAATGGCAAAAAACAATCATCACTTTATTAAATTTATCCATATGCATTTCGCCATCTAGGCCTCCTCAGTGGATACATCAAGATGTTATTGGTTGGTTACGTTTTATACCCAACAGCCGTTCCCAGCATGCAGCAACAATCATTCCAGTATTCAAATTAAGCAAATTTACATGTTTGGCGATACAAAAATGTTCTACAATTTTCCTTTCTAAATTATTTTCTATTTTATACAATATTTTAGTATTTTTTATATTTATATTACAATTAAATTCTCTACAATGTAAAAACCATGCTGATTCCGTTCTTCTCAGTCTAATGGCCGCCTCATGTTCCTTTACTCTCAACTCCAATCTTCTTCCGGTTTCTCCAATGTAATAATTTGGGCTTCCACATGTACATGGCATTCTATATACGACACCGGCGATCTTAAATTGGTCTCTGGGCGAATTTTCACTATTTATTATGTTGATAATATTTGACATCTTGTTCTTTTGATTCGCAACTATGCATATAGAAAATTCTTTAAGCCTTGTTAATGCCTACAGGATGGAAAGAGCCAAAAATAGTATATTAAGCAATTAGTTTTTAATATAGGCGATTATAGTATAAATGGAAGTTTGGCACACGAGTGGAGCGAGTGGGCCAATTTCCATGAATGTCACAATCGTTTGTATAGTTGTGGCAACGCAACACTTGGGCGATCTACCTAGGGGGAATGCCTTCCGGGAGGCTTTTTTAGGGAAACTGGCCCACATTTAGGCGTTACAGACGTGGAGAAAACCCGGAAAACGCCACGTGGTCAACCCGTCCGAGCGAGGCACAAACACATGACCGAACTCTTAGTGTTCAGGGAACGAAGACCACTTGGCCACTGATGGGCCTGAATGTCATAATCGCTTATTATAAACTGTCATACGGTATTTTGTGGTTAGACTAAATTTGTAACACTATACTTATGGAAATCATGTATAAACACTGTATTTATACATGATTTCCATAAGTATAGTGTTATAGGTGTCAGTCACAAAAATATATACAGGTAACCCCCGTATAACACGGCACTTCTATAGCACGGATTCACTCTAACACGGTTCGAGAATTGGTACCATCCCCCGTATAACACGGCACTTCTATAGCACGGATTCACTCTACCACGGTTCGAGAATTGGGGACATCTCCGTATAACACGGTGCTTTTATAGCACACGTTCACTCTAACACAGTTCGGGAATTGGGTAAAACCCTCGTACAGCATGAAATGTAATAAATGGTGCGTTCTTTTATACCTCCGCGTAACTCCGCGCGAGCATTCTAATTGTTTTCGTGGCTTCTTTGAATGCTTTTTCAACAAATAATCCATTTAATGGTTATATTTTACAATTGAGACCTTTCTTTTGCTTCTAACAGCTCATTCTAGAATTATAGATTCTTCCATCACGATACTATCGATAGTACAAGCGCCGCCATCTTTCACCGTCGTTCCTAAATGTCTACAAACAGCAGAGCGACTACAAACAGCGCACTATTTTGCAGAGCGACCGCTATTAACGAACGCACCCAAAAACTGTTACCAGTTGATGATGCTCATGCTGAGATCATTATATAAAATGAATAATCCTCTGGTAAAATATTTACTTAAATACTAAATAAGTATTTTACCTATGGAAAAAATTAATAATAAATCCGATATACATAAGAATTTAACAAAGTTTTTTTTTAATTTTTGGAACTTAACCCTCCTTTTCGCACTAGTTCTTTGTTTCGTATAACACTTATACGCATAACACGGCAATTTTTTGGAACGTAACTTCCGTGTTATACGGAGGTTACATGTATATGTAAGTATTTTGCAGTGGCGCCAGTAGCGTAGCGTAGTGGGGACGGCAGAAGCGGCCCTCCCGGGCGACACTTTTTAGGGGGCGGCAAAATTTCACAATAAATAATAATAATATCTTGTAAAAATTTGAACCATTATATTTCATATTCTCGTCGCACCTACGATTCGGACCGATTGAAATGAGCACGGAACAGTGTTACCATTAGGACAGTCCGGGAACCGACTCACCCAGTGGCGTAGCGTGGGTGTCAGCCGCCCGGGGCGGAGGAAAATAAAAGGAGCCTCCCCTTATTTAGATATCTCAATTTAAAAGACTAAAATTCATTTTCGTCACAGAATAAGAAATGAAAAATTCCGTGCTAGTGTTGCCACCTTATTAAAATCGCTGACCCGGACCAAGGACTTTAAACTACAAGGATAGCCAGATCCCGTATATTTGTTAGCGTGACCTTGGATCTATGTGACGTCACAGCAAGTCCTCTACTTCAACACGACAGATCTTTCAAATAACAAAATACGATAAAATATTAAATCATTTCTTAATTAATTATTAAATTACTACTAAATGTAAACTACTGTAGAATTTTCGGATTTAATAAGTGTACTGTACGTCAATAAATTTACAAGTCTTTTGTCTAATATTTATTTAACAAATTAATGAGCTATATTTTTTATTATGTGATTATCTTACTTAACTTTTTAATTTTTTTTCGACAATCACCATTTTCAGAAGGCATTCTTTTCAATATTTTATAGTTTTCTTGTTTAAGATTTCTATAATTAATTCTTATTATAGTTCTTAATTTACAAAAATCTTTTATTAAAGTAAAAGGTAAAACTGTTTCCACTGACTAATTCTGTACAACTCCGGGGCCTTTTTTATACGATTCATCGTGATATATTTCGAAATATTTATTCCATTCTATAATTTTTGCTAGCCATTCATCAGTAGGTTTAATAAGCCCTCCATAAGATAAATGTTGCACCCATGACGGAATGCTATAGTTGTAATGATTTTTAATTTTGTTAGTGGAATTAATTAAGTTTGGGTATTTTTCTTTATATTTATAGGCAAAATATCCTGCTATATACTCGAGAGCATCGTAGGAAGTTTCTTCAGAGATTGTGTTAAAGTCTAGATTGCATGTAGAGTTTCCTGAAGATTTATTTGAAGAAAAAGTAGTTTTACATTCAGTATATTGGTCTGTATTTTCACTTGATACTTCTACATGTGCTTTCTCTAAAACTTTGGGTATAATATATTCCTCTTGTCTTCGATCTGTAGTATTTACTTTTGACTCTAAAATACCAGGATTCTTACCTAAAATAATCAATCTAATCCTATATATAGCATTTAATGGGCTTGGATGTTCATTAGGACCCCGGCTTCTAATTTGAAAAAAAAAAATTTTCCAGACAATCTTGATTTAAGTGCAGATGTATTTTATATCAAAAGTCGATTTCATATCTTGAAAAAGATCAATTAGCGATTTCATTGAGATTATCATTCCTTTCTGGAAAATTTGGAGGGCATTTTTTCCACTTGCTCTCATTGTTGAGATTATTTTTATCATTTTATTTAAATGTTCTTCTTGTAATTCCAAGTCTACACCATATCCATTTTTGCTTGGAACAGAACCTTTTGGTGCATAGCTATTAAAAATGTCGAACCACATATTTATATCTCTAATAAAATTACCCAATCTCTCTGCCATTTTTTTGTCTGTACCGGGAAGGTAGTGTAAAAGAGCTGTAGCCACGGTATTTGATAAAATCTGAGCTGCCAATTTAACATTTTGGCGCTGGCTTTTTTGACAGTTTAAATGTTTTTCATTAATTTTCCAACACGAATTCACTTCAGTATCGGTGATAGAAATTAGGGCTTGCAATGGAGTTTTATTTATTACAGAACCGTCTTCAAACTTTACTTATCAACTAAATAAACACGTATCAACTAAATAAAGATGAGAAAACCCGCCAAGTGTCTTAATTTATAGCACTTTATTGTGTTAGAAGCATAAACAAATTGTAAAGCACGGTTTCATATCATCAAAATAATTACTTTAAAATTTCTACAGAATATTATAGGCAGAAGAAAGGTATTGCCATGGGATCGGTCATAGGACCATAACTGGCTGATAACTATATGAATAAAATAGATGAAAGAATTTCAAGTATAACAGGTATTAAATATTATGCAAGATACGTAGATGACAGAATAATAGTTTATGATTCTCAAATAGTTTCATCCAACATATTGAGGAATATGCAAACAGATTGCATAAAAACTTAAAGTTTACAAGTGAAGATGAACAACAAAATGAAATGAATTTCTTAGACGTCACAATAAAGAGAGAAAAAAACAAGTGTATCATTTAGTAAGTATGAAAAACTATGTAATGTTAAAACTATTAACTTCAAATCTTACTGCCCTTTAGAAAATAAAAAGAACGTTTTTATCATGGAATTGAGAAAGATATTAAATCGAACAACTCAGCAAGAAAATATAGACATTGAAGTAAAACAATTGTTTAAGAAATTTCAGTTAAATGATTATCCGAAGTATATTCTCTGTAAGTGGTACAATTTATATTTAAAAAGTAGATTTAATGTTAAAAACAGCATAGAAGGTATTTCTTATGTAAAGTTTCCTTATGTTACTAATTTTTTTGAAAAATATAAACCGATATTTAATACCCACAGGAAAGAACAAAGAAAAGCATATATATACCGTAAATAGCATATTAAAAGATCAATTTAGTTTTGATACTACTATCTATACAGATGCGCTTAGTTCCTTGACTGGAATTATTACAGTATATTTTCGACTTTCATATTTCTTAAAAGCAGAATCACATTCCTTCGTAAATGTTTTCATTCACTAACTTATTAGCTGGCAACGCTCCTGTTATCGAAGATGGCGGGAGAAAAGAGTATATGTTAAAGCATTCTATTATTCTATTAGTATTAATACGTTTATTATCCATAATTCAGTTATCTCTGAAAGAAAAAAGAATTACTTTATTTTTAAGCGGATCTAGTAGTAAAAAATAAAAACAATTTGGATTTACGCTTTTAAATCGCTTTCGTCAATTTTTCACTCCGAGAAATATTTCATAAATCCTTTCAACAATGGCACCTAAAAAGGTATTATTTAAATAAAAGAAAAATTGTTTATTTCGAATGAAAACTTATTTCAATTACCTACAAGAAGAAAAAAATGGTAATCTCGTCAGATTGGTTTTTTAAGTATCATTCAATTTGAGTTAGGACGATATTTATTGGCACTTTATTGATTAGGAACAAAATGTTATAGATTAAAATACTAAACATTCGGTACCAAATATTCATATAATATTTACGTTAATATTTGAATGAAACATATCGAAATTTTGAGATCAAAATATTCCCAAAAAACTTCTGTTTTTTATTAACTAAAAGTCTAAGAATAATATCAGTGTGCATCAAATTTCAATTATTCTTTATTATTACTATTCTACTTTACACTGAAAGGCTAAAAGTCGTGAGAAGGAATCTAATAATGGGTTGGTCCCCCTCTAGCCCTCGGAAGTGCTTGCATGAGTTGCGACATGGAATTGACAAGCTCTGTAACTGTTCTTTTCGTAAACAGTTATGTCTAGTAAAGAAAAGTTTTTTTTTTTTTTTTTCCTTATTTCTTTTTTTTTTTGTTTTTTTTTTTGCGGTAGTTTTTGGCGATATCCGTCCTACACCACTGCCACACGATTGCCCTTGATGGATATATCTGTTGGTCACTGCTGAGTGGTTAACCAGTTAGTGTATGTCCAAACGGATGAGAGGGGCTACTTCTGACCATGTGGACATGCCTCAAACCATCACAGAGACATCTCCAGCCTAAAGGAGCCTAGCCTAGGAGACAGGAAGGTGCCCACGGCTTCAAGGAGCTTATGCCACACTCTGTCAGCATGAAACAACTGGAACTAGGATTCGTCTGACTGTGCTACCTGATGCCACTGTTCTGTAATCCAATCCCAATGTCTTCAGTCCCATTTTGGTCATTGAGTTCTATGATAACATGTCAACAGTGGAACACAAATGGTCTTTGGCTGCCAAATCCAATGGCAGACCAGTGGTGACCAGCAGACCTTTCTGAAATGCTTTTATGAAGAGCCTAAATTGAAATTGGCAGTGATTTCATGCATTGCAGCCAGTCTGTGCATCCTTATCAATCTTGCCTGTCAACATGAGCTCTGCTCTTCAATGGCACATAGTTGGCCTTTTGCCACTTTGCTTGCATGTAAATGACATCAATATGATATACATGATACACTCTTGACACTGCAGACCCGGGAAAATCAAATTTATGCATTATCGCCGAAATTGAATAACTCATCCTAGCACTGATAATCATGCCAAATTCAAAGTCAGATAACTCCCAACATGCTGCCATGCTGAATGAACAGTTGCACAGATATGAATGTTAGGTGTGTTGGCTACTATAGTGTCATCCTACATTTGCCTTCCAATGCATCCAATATGAGTCCAGTTATACTGTACTTTCACTGCTATTCCCATGACTTTTGGTCATTCAGTATATGCTAAAATTGGATGTGTTTAGGATTTTGAATATAGTACCTCTTTATACCAATTACATATTTTCTTAATGAAAACATTCTTTTTTAATTAAAATGCCTCAATGTCCTTTTTTTTACTAAAATATAAATTTTTGTCTATAATTTCATATCTTCTATTATCAGGACTTATTATACTGGCTTTACAGATAATGCTACAAAGTTTAACAGAAAACAATTTTTATTTTATTCCATATAGTACCTGTATATGGTATATGGAATAAAATAAAAATTCAGACAACAAAATAAAATAAAAACAGAAAACAATTTTTATTTTATTCCATATACCTGTATATGGTATATGGAATAAAATAAAAATTGTTTTCTGTTAAACTTTGTAGCATTATCTGTAAAGCCAGTATAATAAGTCCTGATAATAGAAGATATGAAATGATAAACGAAAATTTATATTTTAGTACATTCTTTTTTGTTTGAGAAGTTTTATATTATTTGGCTCAATTGGATAAAAATGTCTAAAAGTTACAGAGAATTTGCATTTAATTTATCAGTTGTTGTAGTAGTATATGAATTTTGAGAATATGTTATTGTCAGATATGTAAATTGTCCTCTCAGGGCCTGTTTGGAAATGCTTACCAATCAGTTGGTTGAGAGTAGTGAATGACATCATTGGTTGGTCAGTAACTCTAATCCACCCTTGAAGATCAGAGTCTGGTAGCAGCCAGAAACTATACAAGTAGATAACATTTTTGAATGATGCCCAGTCTCAGCAGTTGAACTTGTAAGCATTTCCAAAGAGATCCTTAGTGTCCAAATGGCAGAAAGAGTTTTTAAAAAAAATCTGTCTAAATCCTGTTTGTTTACAAATGATAAGATATTCATATAGCATATTATTTCTTTCTATTACTTTTCTGGCTGTTATATTTAACAGGGATTGATAAAAAAAAATGACCCACAAAAAATTTTTACATTTTTGGACTCAGGATCTTGAAATGTCAAGAAATCAAAAAGATTTGAGTTTTTTTTCTGTATATATGGATATTAGTATGTGTTTTAGGGACACAGTTTTGTTCACCCACTTTAAAGTTTAATATTAGAGGATTGATTCAGAAGTTATTAAACTTCTGAATCAATACCCTAATACACAAACATCACTGCAAAAATTTCAGAAATTTTTGCAGTGAGGTTTGTGTATTAGGGGATTGATTCTATTAAATGTTGGTATTAAAGATCAAGGGATGGGAAGATAGAGGTAGGTCACTTGTCACATTGTTGGAATTTGCAATTTTTTTTTATAAACCTCATTTCTACCCTCAAAATTAAGCTTTTTGCCATTTTATAATAATTAATAATATAAAATTTTTAAAAATCTCAACATGGTGCATGTCACACAATTTTAAAATTTTGCTAGGAAAGTTGCAATTCATTGCTGGAATTATTATATATATATTTTTTATATGCCATCTTTCTGTAATTTTTTTTATCTGCTTTTATCCAGTTTTTTTTTTAAATTATAGTAAATTCTTTTAGAAATACAAACTTTAGCACATCTTTTCAAGATAGAGAATATAATAATTATTTCAATTGAAGATAGTTTCTATTAAGCAAGTGAAGTTTATAATTGTATTGCATCTTATATATTATAGTTTTTGAAGGAATGTGTGGCCATGATAAAGAGCTCTGCTGACATGAATTTTTGCAGTTTAACTGTTCACTTATCAATTTGTAATAAATTTTATATGTGACTTTGAAATTGTACCTCATTTATTTCCTTCTTATTCATATTTTGCAACATTTGCATGCCTTGCAATTCATGTGCCAATGTCATGGTCGCTGTTATATAGACCATATGCAGGGTATGTTGTCATATTTGGTTGCTCATATCAAACTGGTGATGAGTGGCACCAAACCAGATGAATATTATCTCAGCACATTGAGCCATGAATGCTAATATTGCAGAATTCATTTCTCTCTGGAGACAGCACAGTGTAGCCACAATGACAGGGTGTTGTTGCTACCTTATGCATCACTCTTTGTTCATGTCTTCTCTCTCCTGTCTTTGTCTATGGACTACTATACTATGAGTCATTCATGGTCTTCTGATGAATTAGGTTCTATTGGATTAATCACATTAAATGTGGTATACAAAGAAATGTTGTTATCCATTTTTGTAGTTGGTTTTGTGGTTGTTTCATGCAGTCCAGACCACAAGTAACTTTTAATTCTAAATTAAGTTTTTCTATTTAATGCCTTATCCTGCAGCTACTATGGGTTGTCTGCTATTTAATTCTAATATAATTATTATTTTTTTTATTTTTAACTTAGGCAAGATCTTCAAAAAGGAAAACTGAAGAGACAGAATCCAAATCATCAAAGAAAATTAAAAAAGAAGAAAAGTCTGAACAAGTAAATGATGATAATATTGCTGAATCAAACAGTTTTACATCTGATGCAAAATCTCTAACCGGGAAAAAATGGAATCTTAAAATTTCTTCATGGAATGTGAATGGAATTAGATCATGGCTTGACGTAAGACTTATAGTTTTACATAGATTTGATATATAAAATTATTACTTAAACACACACACACACACATATATATATAACACTAAAATCTTAAGCATTAAAACTGAATATCAGAAGTAATTTGAAAATGGGCAAATTTGGCACTATCTTGAAATTAAAAAAAATAAATGTGCTGCTTATTTAAGAAAGCCAAAAAGTATGCTAACTTGAACTATTATGTAAGTTTGAGGATTTTAATTTTGTTAATTTTCCAAAAAGCATTTAATAATATTGTTGTCAAAATAGTCAAAAATATTTCTTCAGCTTGCAAATTCATTGAGCAATTAGACAAAAATTTAAAATAAATAACAATAACCATAAAATTATTGCTATTAGAACAAGTCAGATTATGTACTCATTTTAAAACAATATGTCACAGTAGAACTTGGTAAATAAATTATACAAAATTTATGGTAAAATAAAATAAAATAGCTGCATAAAATAATAATCAATAAATGCTACAATAGTTATTATAAGAATTTAACTGTTATCTTGTCTTAGAGGAAAGATAATTTTCATGATTTTAAAGTCTGGATCCAAAGTTTTGGAAAAAAAATTTAACAGTTTTGAATAGACATTATTTAAATTTTATTTCTTTCTATAACAAGATATTGGTCAAATTTTTATAGGATGTAATTATTTTAAAAATAAAAAGTTCCAGTCTGTTTTGGCAAAAATTTTTAAATTTTCTAACATTTTCGACTATCTATGCAGCCATCATTAGGAAAGAACATATAATAAAACAGTTTTTAAAATTTAAATTCACGTGTTCCAAATATAGATCAATAACATACAATTAAAATAACATAAATAAATAGTAATAATAAAGTATACAAAAAAATATAATACATAGTAATTTACCTTAAAATATAAACAATAATAATAAACACTAGATTTATTGATTATATAACAGTAAATTACTATGTAGTTTTGTCCCAGTCACAGTTTATAAGAAATTTCCATGCTGCTGATAAGCTTGCTGTGTCCTTATAATTATATAATTTATGATTAATACATATACAGTAGAGTGTTGATTATCCAAATCAATTGGGGACTTTCGTTGTTCAGAAAATCGAATTTTCGGATAACTGATTATGTACGAAAAAATACATTATTAATATAGTATATTAGTATATCCCCAATAATAATATATTAATATATCCCATGTTTAAATTTTTCTCTGTTGCATATCGTTTCACATTGAATTTTTGTAGATGTTAAGCCTAACGAAAATTTTTATAATAATAATCGTGGCTATTGTATCATGAAAAATTATTTCTTTATTTTGTACAAGCAAAATAACTATATTGAAAAATATAAAAACAAAAAAAATTATACTTTAGAAGTTAATCTAGTATCAAAAACGTTTGATTCAGCACGACACAATCCAACTGGAACATTTTCGGTTAACTGACATTTCGCTTGATCAACATTCGGATAATTGACGCTCTCCTGTATTCTTAACAGTATTTTTGTATATGGCTATTCAGTACGATGTGCATAAAGGCAAAAGCACCACAACGCTGGTTATTATGGCAACGCTTGTGGATAATGTACCACATTTCACAGATGCAAAATTTATTAAAATCTTTACAAACCAACACTCTGGAAAAACTCTAGAAAAAATAGCCATATACAAAAATACTGTTAAGAATACATGTATTAATCATAAACAAGGAATACATTTTTTATCAATAAAGGCAAAAATGTTTTTATTTATATATTTTTAACTTTTTTCCCTTCATTTTTATCATTAAAAATAACAAACTAAACCTGTAAACCAGCAAATTTTTATAACAGGTGCAAGTGTTTTTGCTCATGTTGAACAGACATCATCAGGCAAACTAATCTTCAAATGTTGAAACAATCAAAGGATTGCCAAACTTGTGTGCAGAGGGGAGGTGATGTAAGATGAGAGAAATGGGGAGAGGGGGGATAGACATATACAGTCGACCCCCCTATAACGTACGTTCCTATAACGACAATTCCTATAATGTAGCGAAAAAATTGTAGAAACTTTCGTATAAAGTACCTCCTATAACGTCGTTTCGCGACAAGATTGATAGAGTCTGGACCAATAGTGGATGAGCAGCCGAACTACTTTCCTCCGACCCTGCGCCACGCTACGGAGCGGCTAAATTGAGTTTGCTATCGTCTGTTTAGTATTATATATAAATTATATATAAATTAGGTACTGTACATATAATTATATATTAATTATATATAAATTAGGTACTGTATATATAATTATATATTAACTTAATTTATTGTAACTTTATTATAATTATATATATGCTTTCTGCCGCCTGGCAACACGCTACGGAGATTTTAGGCTAGTAAGTTGAGTTTATTATCGTCTGTACAGTATGTAAATTAGGTACCGTAAGTCTAATACAGCACTAATTTTATACATTTCTTGTGAAAGAAACACTTCTTATTCAACGTCCATAAAAATTATTTATATTAATGATGTCTCCAAAGGTCAAGTTATTTTTCCGCCAAAAATTCGTTATCAGAAATTGCGGCCGTCGTTTCGTGTGCTGTTCCGCGATGAAAACCAGCTTTAAGCAACGGCGTAGTCGAACGGTACACACTCGGTAAGTAATCCTATAATTTTTTGTTTATAGCATAGTTTATACGGATTACTCCCAAAAAATTATACGTGTTTTGGAAATGTTGAGTGGAATTAGTCTAGAATCGGTTAATTTTATAGAAGAAAACCTTTCGAACAGCCTTAGTCCGTAAAGTTCCCACCTATCGGGCTTCAATTGGATCATGTATTTAATCATTCCTACAACGTAAAATTCGATTAGCGTGGAACGTATCTAAGCATTATAGGGAGGTCTACTGTATTTTATTGAAACACACTAAGCAAAGTGTATCTGGGTGCCACATAGTATAACCCAGTCACATCGCGAGTAAATGTTACATAGTAGAGATACAATTTAACATTGACAAATTGCAAAATGGAGGAAGGTAAAATTGGTTACACAGAAAATTGGTAGATAATAACAAGTTATGTGATAGGACATATGATGAAGTATAATACAAATGCAATTTCAGATGTCTAGATGTGAATACAAGTACAGAAACAGGTACAGTGTGCAGTAAGATTGTAAATAATTACATAGTAGAATTAGAAATGATAATGACATAGAGCAATTGATATATAGTAAAAATGGTTACAAGAGTATATGTAATAATAATAAATTTATAAAGAATAATGTAATGTACAGTAAATATGGTTACAATTATACAAATAATAATAAAATGTTAGGATATACAATAGCGTTTATGACAAGTACAGATGCGAGTGTACAAGTGGGAAATAAAATCCAGATACACATACAGGTACCTATGTGATACACAATATAGTTAAAATATGTACAAGAAAATAATAGAAGTGATAGAACAGTGAATATACAAATATACAGGGTAAAGTTGCACAACTAATTGCAAGTGCAGATACAAGTATGTGTTGGGATGAGTTACCAAGGAGAAGAGATAAGAACAGATGAGTGGTCGGGTGGAGTTAATCATAGGCAGGGACGGTGGAACAGTCAAAATACTTATTGATGAGGGTCTTGAAGAGGGAGGATAGTAAAATTTATAGTTTGAAGAAAAACTTGCATGTTGTGGAGAAGGAGTTATAGTCCATCACAAAAGGATTAGCCAACATGGCGCTGGCTATCTACTGCCAACATTGATGTGGAATTCCGCAAAGCACGACTCTTACATGATTCTTCCAGGGAAACCCTTTCTCAAACATCTTGAGCAGGTTGAAATATATAAGGCCACCTGCAAAATGTTGCTATTAATTTTCATGATGTTGACTCTTTCTCCACAGCGTGGAAGATTTTCTTCAAACTATTCCCTTTCATCCCCTTTCCTATCTCGCTTTACTTTTTCCCCTTCTTCCCTTAATTACCTTTCCTCTACTCTTCTTCATACTCGGGCAATACCAATGAGTAGTCCCGAGTCTTCATCCCCTTAATGCTAGATAGTTATCTATCCTCCCTCTCCCCGTTTCTCTCATCTTAAGCCATCTCCCCTCTGCAAACATGTTCGGCAATCCTTTGTTTGTTTCAACATTTGCATATTAGTTTGTCTGATGATGTCTGTTCAAAATGGGCAAAAATACTTCACCTGTTATAAAAATTTGCTGGTTTATAGGTATAGTTTGTTGTTTTTAATTCTAATTTAACCAGTTTTAAGTGGCAGTTTTCTTCATTTTTATCATCAGTACTATGTCAAATTTCTGAAATTTATTACATATACTTTCCTATAAGTAAAAAATGCCAATATTTAATTACAGTATAGTTTTGTTTTACACAGTAACTGTGTATTAGCAGATACCATGTAACTATAAACATCCACAATCCTCCAATAGCCTGAGGATACATGGCTATTGGGTTATTGATACCATGTAAAATGAAATTCCACATAAATTTGTTCACCCCAAGCAGCCTTAGATAATTGCCTAGATATTCATGTAACCATTTACAGTCAAACCTCAGTTTACAAACTTAATTTGTTCCTAAAAATTGTTTGGAAATTGATTTGGTCTAAAAGTGAAAGTTTCCCATAAGAAACAATATAAAATAGATAAATCTATTCCCATCCCCAAAACAAAACCTTTTTTTTTTTTTTTTTTAACATTTTAGATGAATTTCATGCATAAAATTGCCTACAAATGCAATGTAATATTATATTATAATATACCAGCTGAATAACAAATAAAGTTTGTAAATAAGAAAGACTGTTCTGTTCAACCAAAAAGATAATTTAACTTATTGACAGTACTTATGAATTTATCATAAATACTGTCAATAATGTATTTATGTTAATCAAAATTTTAATACTAAAAGACAGTATTTTAACTTTATTTATATATTTTTTAGTGTATTTCTTTATTATTCATGAATTAGTTTTAGCTTAATGAGACAAGTTACCTGACATCTACCTAAATCTAACATTAATTTAATTAACATTCATTTAAGATTTCAGATAATTCTCTAATAAATTTTTTAGATCTTATGTATGATATGTTGATAAATACAGCTTTTAATCATGATATATATGGTTATATATCAAAAGTACAATGTAATATTGGTTATATATCAAAAGTATATATCAAAAGTACGGAATATACATCAAAGGACTGGTTAACCTTTATATATCAAAAGACTGGTTATATATCTGAATAAGACTGAATATATATCAAAGGACTGGTTATATATCAAAAGTACGGAATATATTAAACAAAAATTTTTTGCCACAACCTTAACTCAAGCTTAATATTAAAGATTATTGTTATTCATAATAAAATCTTATGGCATGATACTAAACTCTTACAAAAACCTAGTAACCTATGCAGAATCATATTATATTAAATATATAAATGTAATAATCTTTGTCTTAATATAAAACACTGTCATACAAATCCTATGGTGTGGAAATATTTGCTAAATCATTGAAATTTATACCTAATTCTTGTAATTTTTGTTCATTCAAATTTAATTTTTGTTTCTATGTGTTAGACCAATACCCAAAGTCTAGCCAATTTGCAAAATGGCTGGGCATTTCTAGCTTTGGCCAAGTCATGTGGCCAAAGTCCGAAAATATATGAGAATTTATAAATACTTTGAACTTTGGCAGACCAATTCACAATGCATCTGACAATCAATTGCCAGTTCAAGAATTGTCCAAGAAAAAGTGGTCAAAGTTAGAAGTTTTATAGAGCTGGATCATGCAGTTATGAGAGTTGATTATACAAATTCTAACTCAAATTATTACCAATGTGAAAATATTCTTAGGTTAGTCAAAGTAGACAAAAAAAATCACTTCGGAAACAAAGAGAACAGCTAATCAGTGTTCAAATAGCTTTTTTTAAGTTGAAAAATTATACACAACACAAAAATCGAGTCCCATTCCAGGTCTATTCTTTTCTTCCAGAATTTTCTAAATTATTTAATTTAATTATAATTATTAAATCTATTAAGAGAATGCATCTAACATCTCCCTCTAGTGACAAGTTATTTAGTAATGACTATTTTTGTTATATTATTGTCTACTTAGGACTTATTATACTGGTGTTTTTGTTTATGCAAAAAGAGGAAGTCTTATTCAGAAAAAACAATCTTTAATTTTCATCTGGTTTTTCACCTGTTTACCAGAATTTTGGCTGCTGATTATTAAAAAGGTTAACTATTAATTCAATTGCCTCTATGTCCTTATTTTATACTATTTTTGTTATATTATTGCAGAAATGAAAACACCAGTATAATAAGTCCTCATAATGTGCTAAGTCCTAAGTAGACAATAATATAATAAAAACAGTATAAAATAAGGACATAGATGCAATTGAATTAATATTTAGTAATTTAAAATGATTGCAATATAATAGCCTGATATAATCTGATAGTAGTTGGCTCATTAACTGTCTTCAAATTAGACTATTACTTAGTCTAATAATTAAATTGTTAAATGTTTTCTTCTCTGTATTAAAAGTTTTAAGATAAAAATGAAAAAGATTCACTTATATTATTTTTAAATATGCCTTTCTGAGAGGAAAAAGAATGGATTCATGATTATTCTTGTATAATGCTATAAATATATTATACTGAAATTGGCATAAATCAATTATTTATAATTGCAGAAAGGAATAGCATTCCTAAAAGAGGAAAATCCAGATATTCTCTGTCTTCAAGAAACTAAATGTGGAGATAATGAAATTCCTAAGAAAATTAAAGATTTTGAAGGTTATCACAAATATTGGCTTTCAGGTGATCAAAAAGGCTATTCAGGTGTAGGCCTTTTAACCAAGAAAAAACCTTTGGATGTCACCTATGGAATTGGTATAAAATATAATAAGCTGCTTAAACAGTAAAATGTTGGAATCTGATTTTTAATTATAATTTTAATGGATTGATAAATTAATTAGCATTGATATATTTTTAAGGTAATAAAGAACATGATAAGGAAGGAAGAGTTATAACTGCAGAATATGAAGAATTTTATATTGTTAATGCTTGTAAATATTTTCTGTTATGAATCTTGTGATTCACTTTTAGTACTTTTAAAATTAAGATGTAACAAATTGAGGCCTTTTTCAGATGTTCCAAATGCAGGAAGAGGATTGGTTAGACTTGATTATCGAATGAAATGGGACAACGATTTCCTACAATATTTAAAGGAATTAGATTCTAAGAAACCTTTAATACTGTGTGGTGATCTTAACGTTGCACATAATGAAATAGGTATTATAATTCTTCAATTTTTAAAAACTTAAGATAAAATTTAAATTATTCCTCTGAAACTTAAATATATGTTTTAGATCTTGCAAGACCAAAATCAAACAAGAAAAATGCAGGTTTCACCAAAGAAGAGCGAGAGGATTTTACAAAACTGTTGTCAGAAGGATTTTTTGATAGTTTTAGAAAATTGTATCCAGATACAGAAGGATGCTATACTTTTTGGTCATATATGATGAATGCAAGAGGAAAAGATATTGGATGGTAAAATGATTTTATAAATATTTTAAAAAATATATTTCTATATTAATTTAAAATTTATTTCAGGAGACTAGACTATTTTGTATTATCAGAGCAACTTGAACAGAATCTTTGTGATAACCTTATTAGAAAGAAAATTCTTGGTAGCGATCACTGTCCAATAACTCTATTAATGAGTTTTTAAAATTTGAAACACATTAAGCAGTATTTCAAGAAATCAAGAATTGATAGACATTTTATTTCATCAGAATTATATTATTAGTTTTTTTGGTCTGGAATAAAATGAAATAATATTCTACTCTAACACAGCTGATAAATGTGTGATGAAAATAAGAGTAAAGATAAATGCAGTGTAATGAGGACAGTTAATCCTACAGTCAAAGGTAATGTATAGTCATTCATCATAGGATGTTATTCAATCTACATTACATTTTATTTTAAGTCATATTAAATGTTTTGAATTTAAAGCTCTGTGACAAGAAGAAAAATTGTGTTTGTTTATAAATTTGAAATTATAAAAAAAGAATCATTACTAATAACAAATTTATAAACAATGTACCAGTACAGTAAAATACAAATGAAAATAATGTTTCATTTTAAACTAGGGAGAAAAATTGTTTATATATCACTTCAATAAAACAATTTTGAACCTTTTTACAAAAATAATCCTAAATAAATATTAATATTATAATATGAAAGAGTAAAGATATTAAGATTGTACTTCATTATAAAATTGAAATAAAAAATACTATGTTAATGTATATGAGATAAGAACTGTTTTAAATATTAACAATGAATGTTTTTGTGTTTTATATTTATTTTATCATATAAATATATTAGATTAATAATGCATAAAATTATTTTAATGCAGTGGGTGATCGGTTATGAACAAACCAGATAACAAACACTTTAGCGAAAGATTTTTATGTTCGGACAATGAACATGTTTCGATAATGAACACCTTACAGAACAAACACAAGAAGAAGTGACATAAAATAATGAATACTGATTGTCTTCAGGCAACAATTTGAAACTTTTCGGAGCGCGGGAGACGTCAACATCGACACTCAACCCGGTATATACTGATCGAATAGTATTTTTCCAAACTTTGAAACTCTCCCTTCTAATTCCAGCCTTTTATTTTTTTGACAGAAACAATTCTTTTATAGTATTCACAAGACTGTCAGGCAGGCACTCATTAAGTTTTGCATCGGTTTTTATTTTCAAAAGATGAGAGTATAATAGCAAAGGTAGAGAGTGGGCAGATGATGTCTGAATGTTGCTTGATGGGCAGTATGGCTTGAACAGGTCTACAGTAGGCCACAGTTCATTCTTATCTAAGAAAGATACAGTATAATCAAGAAGACTCAAGCAACTAAAGGAGTAACAATAATCACACCTGAGAAATAAAGAACATTGAAGAGCTCATAATGGAACCTGAAATGGATCTGAAGACAGGAGAACACCAAGAACTCTTGAATGAAGAAAACATATCTTGCTGAGTTTTTTTATATTTTTCTGAAAAAGAGGATTAATGTCGATATCTGGTATTAAAGATCTTTTGAAGAAGTGAGAGGATGTCAGAATAACAGTCTTAGAATGGCATCCAAACCAGGTTGAGGTTAATAGGCTTGGGGATCTCTGCAATTACAATACTATTAATTACTTCTGAAAAATCCTGAAGAAGAGAGAAAAGAAATTGACATTGGACAGATTCTTTAATTCCAACAAACAGAAAAAACATGACTAATAAAAATGCAAGACTGTGTATATACGTATTTTTATTATTACACATAAATAAACGTAGTAAGAAAGTATATATTTTTTATTTTTTNCATAAAATAATGAATACTGATTGTCTTCAGGCAACAATTTGAAACTTTTCGGAGCGCGGGAGACGTCAACATCGACACTCAACCCGGTATATACTGATCGAATAGTATTTTTCCAAACTTTGAAACTCTCCCTTCTAATTCCAGCCTTTTATTTTTTTGACAGAAACAATTCTTTTATAGTATTCACAAGACTGTCAGGCAGGCACTCATTAAGTTTTGCATCGGTTTTTATTTTCAAAAGATGAGAGTATAATAGCAAAGGTAGAGAGTGGGCAGATGATGTCTGAATGTTGCTTGATGGGCAGTATGGCTTGAACAGGTCTACAGTAGGCCACAGTTCATTCTTATCTAAGAAAGATACAGTATAATCAAGAAGACTCAAGCAACTAAAGGAGTAACAATAATCACACCTGAGAAATAAAGAACATTGAAGAGCTCATAATGGAACCTGAAATGGATCTGAAGACAGGAGAACACCAAGAACTCTTGAATGAAGAAAACATATCTTGCTGAGTTTTTTTATATTTTTCTGAAAAAGAGGATTAATGTCGATATCTGGTATTAAAGATCTTTTGAAGAAGTGAGAGGATGTCAGAATAACAGTCTTAGAATGGCATCCAAACCAGGTTGAGGTTAATAGGCTTGGGGATCTCTGCAATTACAATACTATTAATTACTTCTGAAAAATCCTGAAGAAGAGAGAAAAGAAATTGACATTGGACAGATTCTTTAATTCCAACAAACAGAAAAAACATGACTAATAAAAATGCAAGACTGTGTATATACGTATTTTTATTATTACACATAAATAAACGTAGTAAGAAAGTATATATTTTTTATTTTTTGGAGTTTCCAGAACGAATTAATCAAATTCCCATAAAAACCTATGGTAAATCGATAATTGGTTAATTAATTAATGAACAATTCGGATAGTGAACAAAGTCTTGGAATGGATTATGTTCGTTAACCAATCACCCACTGTGTAAAAAAAACCAATAATCAATTAAAATTGTTCATTATACAGTAGAACCTCCATTATCCGGGCCTCCATTATCCGGATTTTCGATTATCCGGATTGTTCAAAATAAACAAAAATTTTACGAATTTGCTGATTTGCACTTGGCGAATTACGACACTGTTTATGTTCATGATGGAATGCATAACTTTTTTTGTTTCAACAACGTCTCACC